GTTACGGAAAATTAATTAACACACGGAGACGTAACAATATCATCTGGCTGCATGGATATAAATGATGTATGCTGAAATATATTGCGCCCTTCCAGGCGATCGGATTTATTTCCAAAACCTAGATCTACTACAGGTCTTTATCTAGTTCCTTGATATATATATATTCAAGAGTAAATAAAACCAAAATTAAGAGTAACAGGTATTTATATTTCTTGCTTTGAAGTTCATATGTCATGTTGTATTGTAATCTACAAAGTGCATAATTCTTCTCTTATTTCATAGCATGCTAACGCTCACTGACGTCACAACAGTACAAATTGCAACCATAAGCATCCCTAATGTGACGCATTTTAGTGTCTACTGACTGAGTTACTGAGAGCACACTACTGTATGGTGGTGCGAATGGTTAAAACAAGTTACCTCTCCTGGCGGCCTTCGGCCTTCTTTCGGGGATTTGAGAGAAGGTATAAAGAGACATAAAGAATGTTTCAAAAATATATAGTTTTTTTGGCGTTATAATCTATAATGCCAAAAAATCATGTACAAAATTCGTGTTTTACACACCATACAGTGCACTCTATTAAAACTTAAACGGAAGTAGAACTTATTTCAGTATCACCGGGAAAATAATCGGTAACAAATATGGAGAAAAATAATTTCAAAGTTATGCTTTATATTAAAAAAGATACCGAAAATGAGCAAGTGTTTTTCAAAGTAAGTTTTTGTGTAAAATACTGGTTTGATTTAGGTATGTTACTCGGAAAATAGTTTCTGAAAAGTTGGATAAGCTTTTAAAGAAGTTTACCTAAGTTTTAGGCTTAATGTCAATTAAATTCGTGAGGCTTGTCACATCCTGTAGTGTGTGACATTAAGTCATTTTGCAAAACTCACATCCTATTGTTTAGAAAACTGAAAATCTAAAACATTGGATTATTGTTAGAGGCCATTTTTTGACATATAATAAGAAAAAAATGTTTGTGTCTCATTTAAATTTTGAATATTCCAATAATAAAATATAAGATTAAATCATTAACTGATAAAGTCTATAAGCATTTTCTTTAGTTGTTAAGATTAGAGGAAGAAATGTTACGAAAAAAATTATTTGAACAAAAAGTTTTGAACTTATTTAGAGTATTTATTGCGAAGAAAAGAAACAATTAGGAATACTGGAGTTAAGATGATAAATTGTCTTTATCATTTATATCAAAATTTAAAAAATAGTACCTTTACATTTTAACAGTTTAATAAGACAAAAAGTTCATAAAATGAGAAGAATACATTATTGTAACTGAGATTAATTAGGTGTCAGATGTAATATAACTAAGCTCTTATGTAAATATATGGTAATCATACTATAAAGGTTGTTTGTCTTAACTTAAACATTAGACTAAGTATCCTTTCCTTTTGGTCTAATGACACTCATGAAATTAATAGAATTAACATGGTTTCCTAGAAATGTTAATAAATGGAAAGTTGAATCTGCTTTTTTTTATTATTGATGTTAATATTTTTTAAGTTGTATGGTACATTTACTTACTGTTCATTTTACTATTGTAGACTTCTACTTTTAGTACT